GTTCGTGTGTGTGTGTCATGCGGAGAGGTCGTCTGCCGACATCCAAGCTCCAAGGTACCCCAGGGTTTGCCTGCGGGGAGGGATTAGGGGCGGAGAGATTCCGGGACAGAGCGATGTACGGACAGACCAACGGACAGGCAGACAGACAGACAGACGAATGGGCGTCAATGGACACACAGACGGAAAGACACAGTCAGATGGATAGACAGACAGACAGACGGACAGGACAGGAGCTCTCCCGAGTCGGTCGGTTTTGAAATTTTGGAGTCGTTCACCGAACACCGTGCCGTACACTGCTGCCTGCCGTACACCTTTGAATCACACGCTTACCTACCTTGAGCGCGCTCAGCAGCGAGCCCGGACCCTCGTGGCCAAGCAAGTGACTAATGTACGAGTCGGCCTTGCTGCCGTACAGCCGCTGCATCGGCGGCAGCTGGAAGGTTAATTTCAGCTCGTGGCCGTCCCGCACAGCGGGCAGCACGTGGAGGAAGCGACCCTGTCGCGGGGCAGGGAATGTGTGTGAGAGCGAAGGCGGGGTAGGTGGGTTATTAACTTAGGGTTTATGGGTTTCAGGGTTTTAGGGTTTCAGGGTTTTAGGGTTTTAGATCAAGGAAATGTTTTTCAAAGGAGAAGGTAAGGGGGAGGAGGGTTAATGGAAAAGGACCACCGGACCACCACGGACTCACTGACGACTGATTTGCGACACATGCGAGTGTATGTATGTGTGTCGGTATGTGTTTCAGTGGGGTCACCTCGGGTATGGTAGCCTAAATCCCCCCCCTCCCCTTCCCCCCCAAACTTCTACCACCACCACCACCACCACCACCACCACCACCACGCAGCCCACCTCAAAGGGCGGCTCCAAGGCCGCAAAAGAGGGTTGAGGGCCCCGGCCTGACGGCATGGCTCCGAAACCATCCACCACCATTCGAGCCAGCTCGTCCAGCTCCTCACCCCCCAACACCACCAAACAGCTGCGGTCGGCGCCGTACTGACGACTGTTGGCAGCATAGCGGAGGTTGGCGGGCGGGGGGGGGGAGTAGGGACCGGCCGGGGAGGATTGTGTGGGGGGGAGAGGGGACGAGACTGAGGAGCAGGCACTCAGCAGGGTGTTGGAGGTGAGGGTAGCATGACATGGCGGTGCAAGGATAAGGATGAACAGAAGGAAAAGCGGAGAACACACAGCGGAAGAGGGCAAACAACTGAGCAGCAAAAAGGTTGGGAGGCCAGGACAGGACGTCCGAAGGGTCCACAACACCAAGAGGTCCCGGCGGGGGGTCCCGCGAGTTAGGGTTTTAGGGTTCGGGGGAGGGGGGGCAGGAGACGAACCACGAACCAGTGAACGTATGGGGTTCGAAGGGGGGGGAGAAATGGTGAAGGGACGCCAGCCCACGAGTGAGTCGTACATGTGTCGTACGTGTACCACTTACTTGTAGTACTCGAGCAGTCTTCGCCGTACGTCCAGTCCCGCCAGCCGCGGCTGCTCCCAGAGGCTGGCCTTGTTACCCCAACTGAATTTCCGGTAGATGTGGCCCGGCCGGGACTGTGTGTGCGTGTGTAAGGGGGGGGAGGGGATGCGGGGGGGGGGAAAGGAGGGTGGAAGGGGAAGGGGAGGGTGCGGGGGGGAGGAGGAGGGAGGAAAAGGGGGTGTGCGAGAAGGGAAAGACTAACCTCGAGGAGCTAATCTCGGAGCGCTCGCGAAGGCCGAATAATGTGTCGTACAGACCATTGTGTTGCAGACTGGGAAGGCCGCTAGGTGGCCGGGGTAGATCGGGCGGCGCTCCCTCCCCCCCCCCTCCCCAGCTGTCCTGCTCTCTACCCCCCTCCCTTCCGGTTACCGTGTGGCACATGATTTGCGCCAGGAGGCAGTGGTCGTCCTGGAGCACCTGACAGAACTCGCTGTCCACTGCCAACACCTGGCGGTGGGAGGGGTGGGAGGGGGGTGAAGAGGGGGTGAAGAGGGGGGTGAAGAGGGGGGTGAAGAGGGGGGGAAGACGAACCACGTGAACGAGTGAAGCTGATTGCAAGGAGGTTATAGACTAGGATACGGCAGAAGTACGTCAGCCATGACTAAGAAGTCGGCGCTTGTGAAGGAGGAGTCTTCGCAAGGGTGGGAAGGGTGAGCGAGCGAGAGAGAATGGGAAGTTAGTCCTAGGTTGGGGCCACAGTCCAGCTCGTGCAAGGCAAGCAGCACGGCCGTGATGACGACCCCCCCCCCTCCTCCTCCTCCTTCACACACCCCGCTGCTCCCGCAGCGCCCAAGGGGACTATCCTCTCCCAAGGGGCTTTCTGCACAGCTCCTCAGCACAATGTGCCGTACCACCACACGCGGGCCCCGTCAGCACACGTCCGTACGACCACCACCTCCCACATACCCGCCTCGCCATCCCCACACCCCAAACTACCTACCCCCCCCCATACCAGTCCGACGCCATCACCAGCAGCTCCCCACGAACCCCGCAGTCGTTGACACACACCACCAACCCCCAACCCCTCCCACACGCCCCCTAAAGGGGGATGACAAGGGTGTCTTTGGTTCCCCTTTAGTGTTCGTCCCCTTTAGGGGAACCGAAGGGGGGTTCCCCTAGCTGTCCCCTTCTTGAACACCTAGCTGTCCCCCCACCCGGCAGCCCCCCCCACCTCCCTCTCCATGCTACCCTCATTGCACAGCGGCGCAATGAAGAACTGCGCGAAGCGGTCCAGCGCCCCGGCCAGGTGGGCGGGGGCCACCTCGAAGTGGTAGTTGGTGACCTCCTGGGGCATGGGGTGCAGACGTGTGCGTATGTCTGTATGTCTGTATGGGTGTATGTCTGTATGGGTGTATGGGTGCTGGGGTGAAGAAAGGAGAGCACGTTGCGGAGGGTTCAAGCGAATCCAAATCCCGGTAGAATTGCGTCCCCGATCCTCCCCGATCGGAAAAGGACGAGTGTGGGAGGGCGGGCGGGGAGGGGGGGAACGGCTACGCGGGCTAATTTAGTGTCTTGGGGGGAGTGAGCCGAGTGAGCTGTGGGCTGTGGGCTTCTGCAGACTTCTCCCGGTCCCCCCCAACCCCTCCTTCCTACCCCCTAACCCCCCTACTACNC